CGTGGTGTCAGGTGAATGTTATGTATTGGACAAAGCAGCACTATGTATACAACAAAAGAGTGACGAATCAGCGTTGTGTCACTTGTGTGTGCAACAAAATGATGTTGAAAAGGAAATAAACTATGTAGAAGAATTCAGGCTTCATTATGCGATTTGTTAATTGTAATAGTTAACAATCGTCAAGGTGATATTATGTACTTTGGTGAAAATTCTGGAAAACAATGTGTTGCTATGAGTTTGAGTACTTTGAATTATAATAAGTTAAATGGAATACATAGCTGTAATGACCTGGTACAAATAATGGAGATGGATAATAAAAAAATAATAATCTTTACCCTTGGCAGTGTTTATAGCACAAAGGTTAACTAGTGGGGCGGAGCAAACAGCTGATAAATATTGTTTTGGACAAGTGTATTTAAAGCAAATAGAATTACTTCAATGGTTGCTATGTCTGAGAAAAATTACCAGCTTAATTATAGTGAAAGCTACCCTCTGGTAATCTAAATCATTGTGATTCAATAACTGAGGGATATCAGTGCTGACAGTATGTCTATAGACAGGGCTTTTGAATCACTCTTGTCACAAAATTATTCTTCATTTATTCTAGCAGTAGAGGTTATTGGTGTCAGTATCCGTCATACTGATAATGGGAGTTATAAGATATTTGATTCTCATGCAAGAGACAATTATGGTAGTCTAAGCCATCCCTTAGGTACATGTGTACTACAGTATTAGAAGTACCATCCAATCAGAGCTTAGTACAGTATTTCCAGACTATACACTCACTTGGTGACGAACTCAGAGGAGAGCAGATTAGTACGTATGAAATAACCCCAGTAAACAGTGTGAGAGAAGAACACAACTGCTCTTGTATACAATGCTGTTCTGTAGGGCTTTATATAATGTGTTACTCAGTGGCAACGCCTTAAGTATAATTTTAAATTACCAAATGTGACAGTGAACTTAAGTGACGTCACAATTCAAATCAACTTCAGTATGATTACCGTAGCTTTCGCTTTCATCTATTGGTCGGTTTCATGATTTCTTTGAGACATACATCTATTAGCATGTACATGTACATCTCACACATGCTATTTCTAGGACCGCTGTGATTAACACGTGTAGCAGCACATTTTTAGCTACAGCCCGACTTGCGATCTTAGATCGTCTTGTTAGGTTTTAATTGTCTATATTGCACTGTAGCTTTGTGGAAAACATATACAGAGGTTTCTCATACAATAAAAATCCAGAATATAGACCATCAAAATTGGAGTGATTTTTTGTATAATTATAAAGAACCTATTTTCTTTGCCAGGCTGAACAGGTTCTTCTTTTTTGGGGTATTTAAATACCAAATTCCAGCCTGTAGGTTCTTAAATCACTAGGTTCATACAGTATATATGTGGGTTTTTACTGTATTGTAAAATAACTCACAATAATTTATGGTTCACTTTCAGTGTTATATCACACTCATTCCTTTTACTGCCCAGGTGTAATTTAACTTTGTGATCGAACTGGCACTGTCTTTTTAACTTGACTTGATTTCTCCCAAGCACTTATTAAAGATGATTTCCTGTCTGTACTGCACAGTCTCCGCACCCTAATGTTTACAAACATAAAAAAGCCTCACTCGATAGAATGCGATCTTGATGCTATTCGTTATGAACCACATACCTTATGTTTGAGGCCTTTCAAATTCTTTTTCCAAGTGCTTCATTGACTTTTACAGCTGAAAACTTGTTTCGTCATGTGATGTGAGAAAAATCAAAACATAAATCTTTGCATCGTTTCGCATCCATAATGGCGGTTGACATGAAACTTTGAATTTACTTCATGTATAAATAGTTTTGAAATGTTCACATTTTGTGACCTCATGCATGAAACAAAACAAAAAAACGTAACCAAACTCTCGAGAGTGTGCAGTACGGACTGGAAATCATCTTTAAGCCATGAAAATTGTGTTCATGTTGATGAGTTCGTAGTACAAATAATAAATCTCTGTAAAACTGTTGCAACTGTAGTGCTTTGCACTTGTCACTTACCTTACTCCCTATTAGTCTTGTTACAATTGTCTATAGTTATTAGTACTACATGTACATTTATGTTCTAAATATCTACATAGTAATCTGTGCGGTTCAGCTGCTGGCTATTTTTGATTGTCATTCAATCATAAAACTAACCTTTATTTTGTTTTTGACTTTTTAACTTACAGCTACCCCTTGGCCTCCATCAAATTTCACAGTTGTTACTACTGATAAGCAGAAGGAGTTACGGGTTAGCTGGAGACCAAAGCTTGCATGGAGGTTCACAGAGACAGAATATACCATTCTGTATCATGCAAAAAATGACATGGAAAATGAGGTTTGTTGTTACTGCATTCAGTACATTTACATGTAACTCCTTTGCACATGGCCTAGCTTATTTTGTTTTGTTTTGTCTTTTGTTTCGTTTTTAAGAGCTAGCCTGCAGTAAGTTGCCAAAAACTCTGAAATCTCGTTCCTTGACTCACAACAACAACAACAGCAGCTTTATTTATCCCTTATTTTTTATAAATTAAATTATGACTCTTTCCTTACTGTGCAAGCTTGATGAAACAAGCAACTCTCAAGAGTTCTGTTTTGCACAGTCTACTGTAGATTTTGATGGTTTTGAAAACAATGGAAATGAGCAGAAGTAAAGAACCAATGTCTCAACAACAACATCAACAACTTTATTTGTACTCAATGTAGAAATTACAAATTAGATGAACAAAAATAAGTTAAAATAAAAAGAGTTCAAATACCGTAAGTTAAAATAAAAATAAAAACCTCTCGATTGAGCCATGTATTTGCCAGCTAGGCGTGCGCAATTTAACCAGAAGTCAGATATTTGCAGACTCTTTCCAGGGTCACTCATTACCTCACCTCTGGTCAAGGAGAGTTCATTAAGACTCTGGGTGTTGCCAAAAACTACTTTAGGTTAACTACCAACAAATATACACTTAAAAACCTACTTGATTTGAATTGGCTAAGAGCAGTGTACTCCCATCTAATGTAGCTACATGTAACTTGTTTCTTACAGCTGTAGATACATCCCCGCTCTTGTAAATCCCAAAGTCGACTTTCGTCATACATTTGTGTTTGAGGAGCAGTCACTGAAGCACTAAGTCTTGTTATGTCTCAATTTGCATGTTAGTGCATGATTTGATAAGCAGCCAACACAGATAGCAATAGATGTTTCCACACGACTGTTCATTTTGAATATCGACTGTAATCTGACAGAAGGGATCAAGAAAAAAAATTTTTTTTTTAATTTTAATTAATTGCTACTTACACTGCTTACAATACAATATTAATGTAGTTACTTACACTAATTACGAAAAACTTATTACTTACGCCACTTACGATACTAACACTTAC